CTTCCCGCTACTCTGTAGGCGTGGGGAGTTTGGGTTGGCTGACACGCATCGTGAATCTATTTCTTGGTTGTCGGATGCTCTTCCAGTCCTATAAATATCTGTTGAGTTTTATTCTGGGAAGCAGCTTGGTTACTTGGAAACAGCCTCACGCACCCTGGTCTGGCTTTTACAGTTTCTTAGACAGAGGTGGAACTAAGCTCCATGCGGCTGATCACTGCTTGTTCCAAAGACCAGGACCATCTGTACACCCTTCCCAGTGTCTGGACAATCACACCATGTTCCAGCCTGGCTGGTGGGCATAGAACATACACGGCCGTGGGTCTCCCAAGGTCCTCAGGCACCAGATGGTGCCTCCATGGCCCTCTTTCATAGGCAGATGCCAGTTCGAGGCGTAAGGGGCTCTGCACACCTTGGGGTTATTGTTTGGTTTTCCCAGCTGTTTGTCCCAAACACTCCAGCTGTGGGCCCCTTGGGCCTCTCTGCTTCATCTTCTCAGCTCCGACAGTTTCCGAGGCTCTTCCTGAGTCCCTGTAAGCCGCCATCCATCCCGAGGCTCTGCTGGATTCCTCGGGAGTGAGCGCCTCGTTTGGTGCTTACATCTCCAGCTTCCTCTCCCTTGCTGCATGTTTTCGGCATCTGGAAATCATTCTTGTCCTTCCACTGGGCTTTGTTTTGGGGTAAAAGGAGAATCCAGAGCACACACATTTGGTAGAAGTAGCTGTTGATGTTCTCACGGTCTCATTTCTCTTTTCGATTCTTTCTTGAAAGTGCTATTTGTAGCCCAAGCTGGCCTGGAATTCATGATACAGCCCAGGCTGGATTCGAACCCCCCTGGTGCTCTCACTCTGGATATGGAGGAGCCTTCCCTGCAAGGCTTCCCTGTGCAGCATGACCCTGCAGTCCTTGTCCAAGTTCAAGTGTCACAGAGCAAGCAAGCAGAGCCCCCTGCCCTGATGAGCTTGCCCTGTCCATCCCTGGCCACGGGGGTAACGTGCACCAGGCTCTTTAAGCAAGAGAGCACACAGAAAGCTCCATGGGGGGGCGCAGTGGAGCACACCTGCTGCACCTGAGCCCACTGCGGCTGCTCTTGTCCTATGTCCTTCCCTCCCTGTTGTTGCCATAGTTACTAGGATGAGGCAGGTGCATGACAAGGGGCACACTAGGTAGGACTCATGGTGTCTGGGTGAGCAGTGTCGTGCTGGCGCAGCCCTGGGTTTCCCTTTTGGCCTGTCACTCATTTCTCTGTGCTGTCTGGCAGGGTGCCAAGTGCTCACTTCTGTGCCAAGGTGGACATACCTTTCATACACTCAGGCGCAGGCGCAGGTGCAGGCGAAGACACTGGCATCGCAGGCCTGCATGGAAGGAGGAAGTCAGGTGTGGATATGGAAATACTGAGCCCTCGGGAGGAGTTAGTGCTTAGCATCCAGGGGCAGAGGTAGGCATGCAGGATTTGAGTGGATAGACGGGGAGAGGTTGGAGTCCTGAGCACACCTGTATGAACAAGTGTATGTGTGCATGGGATGGCAGGCGTGCCACAGGGCTGGAAGGACACAGGCTGGCTCAGTGGCCTAGAAGGACAGAGCAGATGAGGGTACCCTTGCTTCTGTGACATCTGGGTGGAGGAGGCAAATCCTCGATGTAACCCACCATCTCCCCTCTGGGCTGAATCATGGAGGTTAATGAGGCTGGGACTTGGGGAGTGTGCTGAGTCTCACACAGTGTGCAGCTCGCACGGAGTGTGGAAGGCCAGGTGCGGCCCTGTGCAGGTTGCATGGAGTGTGGAGGGCCAGGTGTGGCCCTGTGCAGGTCACACGGAGTGTAGAGGGCCGGTGCGGCTTCATGCTGCAGTCGGCTTCTGGCTGGGCCACTCTGGCGCCCAGAGAGGAGCCGCCATCCTTCTTCTTTCCCAACACTCAGACTTTCAGCCTGTGTTTCTTCAATAAATGCCCAGAGTTCTGAAATAGCCAGTTCTGGAGATTTGTGAATGGAACCAAGTTTCCTTCTTTTATGGCGGAGAAACTTTCCCAGCATCTTTATGAAAACCCCATGGTGGAGAAACTTTCCCCAGTATCCTTATCAAAGCCTCAGACACATTCTCCTTAGGCCCCGTTTATTTTATACCAGCGAACTGTATTTATGTCAGAACAAATCCCCAACACAGAAAACCAAAATGAGTGAGTAAAATAATTCTCACCTTACTTTCACCCTTAATTTATAATGAAATTATGAATATTCATAAAAGGCCACATGCTCATGTTTCTCCATTATAATGTATTTCTCTCTTTCCTTGGTGAAGTCATGAATGTTTTGCGTTTCAGTAGCATGTTGCCCTAGGGTTCTTTCACTGTTATCAAACAACATGGCCAAGGAGCAACTGGAGAAGGAAAGGGTTTATGTAGCTCACACTTCCACACCACTGTCCATCACTGAAGGAGTCAGGACAGGGACTCACACAGGACAGAATCCTGCAGGCAGGAGCCGAAGCAGAGGCCATGGAGGGTGAGGCTCACTGGCTTGCTCCCCATGGCTTGCTCAGCTGCCTTCTTATAGAACCCAGGGCCAGCAGCTCAGGGTAGCTCCGCCCACGATGGGCTGGGCCCTCCCACATCGATCACTAAGAAAATGACCTACATGCCTGCCTACAGCCCTATATTTTTCTCAATTGCTGCCTTCTCTCAGATGACTCTAGCTTGTGTCATGTTGTGATAAAACTCTCCCGCACACATGTCTCTGCCATTTTGAGCAGAGACACAGGAGCTTAGATGGGGAGATGCACCATGATTTAACAGGTGCCTGGCCTCAGCTGCCTTCTACCTTCCACACTGGAGACAAGTCTCCTTTCATGCTCCTATGTAGCTCGTACATCAGAGTCTATGCTGCCTGTCTCTAAGAACTAAATCTATAAACTGTGCTTTATTCAGAGAGTTAGGTAACAGAGGGTTAACGCTGCAAAAGTCTGCCATCAGCAGGAAAACTGGGCGGGAACTAAGTCTGTTGTCAGGCTCTTTTGCTCATTGTCCTCTGCCACATTCTCACCTAAGACTCTCAAATGCTCCTGAAGTGCCCTGTGGGTTAGAGGTTAGCTCAGAGTAAACAAACCACTAGCAGTGTGTGAGAGAGAGCCCCAGAAGGAGATTTTCCCATTTTCTCTCCACCCAATCAGGTCCCCACAGCAACCCCCCATCAGGGTCCCATCTACAGCACAGACTACAGAACTAGTCTACAGAACACAATTCTATAGGATATGAGAGAGCTCTGCTGTCCCCTTGCTTCTAAGATTTCTTTTGAGGGTCCCTAAACTAAGGTTTCTAGATCAAAGGTCAAAGACTAGGAAGACATAGGTTGTTCCTGAGTCCTTCGAGCTGTCAGGGCAGGGAGTCTTGCCTTGTTACTCAGCCTTCACTTCCTGCTCTCTAGTAAACAGTCTGTTCTCCAGATACATGTTCCTGAACACCAATCCGGTTGGGTAGAAGGCTCACTCAGATCCATAGGAAGCCTTCACTGTATTCTTTCTTCTGGAATCTTCCTTTTGTTGTTATTGCAGTTTGAGTGCTCAATAGAGTAGACCTTGGTGAAGGCAGCCCAGAAGTGCTTGCTGTGGCCCTTCTGTTTGTCCAGGACACACAGACAAGAACTACTTTCTAACTCACAAAGATCTTACTCAGGACAATTTCTACTTCTGGCCAGAGGTGCCAGGGGATCTCACAGTTAAGAACAAATCTGATCACATGTGTAACGGCGACCTTAAGGCATCCCCAGTGACTTTAAGACATGCCACACTAAACCATGAAGGTTCCACAGTCAGCGGACTCCTGTGGTTGAGAATGCTGCAGTCAGTGTCCAGAAAATGGGCGCCTTTCCTTCGCCAGGGGACAGCCCCAACATTCACAAAGGAGTCCTCCCTAGGTCCTTGAAATGTCTGAAGTTCATTAAGTCACTGTAGCTCTTGCACGGCTTACAATGGGCAGAAACGCCAACTGAAGCTGTGTGTGGCTGCTTCATACTGTGAGCCCACAGATCAAGGATGCCATCGCCAGTAAAGCCTTCTCAGACTCCAACTGATGCCACAAGCAACTTGCAATATTTTTCTGTCTAAGATCTCAGCAGAGTTTGGTTTTTGTGTTGTATCTCTCAAATTCCTCTTAAAGAGTCACATTCCGTACGTTTGCTTGTTTTACGCTTCTGCTGCACACTGCGGGCTTGCTCTATCTCGGGCTGTTTTCTTCCTTATTTCTTAAGTGATGTTTATGGTGTGTATGCACATGTACAAATGCTAAGATGCAACCCAGCCGGGCAGACCCAGGGCTGGTCATTCATTCACTTGCAGTATTCTTCACTGACTGTCTCTGGTACCCACACTCTCTTGGGAGAGTGGCTGTCATTGAACCGAAGTCTAGTAGAGGAGACAGATGAGGAGGAGGCGTTAACAGAAATTCTGGTCAAGGAGAGTAGGGCATGGTGCTGGCGTCATGATAGACTCCGATCCAGTGGTGCTGCGTGTCCAGAGAGAGGTCACCTGTAGGCATCCCCAGCAGGGCAGCGGGGAGGCAGAGGGGCTTCTGCGTGGTATGCTCTCAGTACTGACAGTACACACATGTGGTTGGAATGTGGAAGGTACTGGGTTGAGAAGTCAGTGCTACCCAGGGCTGGAGTCACAGCAGCCACAGGGCGAGTTGCTCTGTAATTTATGACCTGTGTGCATGTGGCTTTGAAAGGCAGCATTGGCCATGGACCCCCCAAGAGTCTAGTTCCTGGATGATCCCTACTGTGGAGCATGTGGTCCTTAATGTGGCATGCATCTGCCCTGCCCACCGAGCCAATGGAATGGAATGGAATACACCTATACAATGTAGCGTGTATGGGTCTTCTGGTTTCAGCTCCGGATGTCCCCCCCACCCCCCACCCCGCCATCCCCCTGTCTGAACTCCTGATTGTATCCACTGAAGGCTGCATGAAGCCAGTCCTCTAAGACGTGTTTCTCATCCCGGTGGGTCTCACAGGGACATTGCCAAGGAAATGCAAGAAGGAGCTGCTGGCAGTGAAGCTGAGGAACCGGCCGAGCAAGCAGGAGTTAGAGGACCGGAACATCTTCCCCAGGAGGACTGATGAGGAGAGGCAGGAGATCCGGCAGCAGATAGAAATGAAGCTCTCCAAGTAAGTGGCCGTGTGCAGACTAAGTCAGAGGCCGCCCTGCAGTGCTGGGCAGGCTCACAGAGAGATGGATGGGAACAGATCATTCAGCCCTTGATACTGCGTGGGGGTTGCCTGTGTACCTGTGGCTCAGCAGCATCTCTGGCCTCTGCCTGTCATGTTCCCTGGGACAATTGAAACTTTCCCAGATATCACCAGAATGCCCCTCTGTGAACCAGCAGTCTCCTTGAGCCAAGGGGCATGTGTGAAGGAGGGGCCTGGGCCTAATTGCTGAGGATATATGTTTTCTGTGGCAGGGCTGGCTACATGCTACCCCTCATAGCTCCCACCTAACCATCTCCCTCTAAGAACATGGGTCCAGCTTTGCTAGGTCATCCAAGTCTGTTGCAAGAAGCTGCACTTACATGACTGTCCACATACAGTGTCACACTTCAGGGGACAGAATGTGCACCACACCCTATGTGCTCCAGGATGAGGGATACACTGACAACCTCCCCTACTCTACCACAGTTGGGGCCAGGCTCTCCTCCTCTGGCCTCAAAGTCTTGTTGGTAGCCCACAAGAACAATTGATGTCCTACAGTCCCTGAAAGCCACCAGGTGATGGTTGCTTAGCAACTAGGTGGTTGCTTACCCTAGGTGAAGACAGACTGTGCTGTGGATCAGGCCAGAGGGGAACGGCCTGGTCTTGGAATTCAGAAGGCTGGACAGTAGAGCATTTATAGAGGGTATAGCTGTGGAGGGCGGGGCTGTGGAGGGCGGGGCTGTGGAGGGCGGGGCTGTGGAGGGCGGGGCTGTGGAGGGCGGGGCTGTGGGTCACCTGCAGATAGCTGGTGGACTGTGGAATGTGGGGCTACAGAGAAGCTGCAAGTAGCTTGCATGCAAAGGGTGGGCCTCAAGGTGTGGAGCTTACTTGGTTTGGGAATTTCTAGGACTGGGATTCCCTTTTGCTCACAGAACTGACAACTAATTTTAGAGTCTGGGATGTGGTGTAGTAGCTTCGGAGTTGCTGTCACTACATCTGAAAATGGAAACGCATCCCAGAATTAGATACAGAGAGCAGGAGGCTGTCAGTCTCCCCTTGAAGTTGGAGGTGGCCTCTGGTGCCCCCGTATCTTCCCTGCAGGAACGGTCTGATCAGCCCTCTGCCTGTGTTCCATCTTAGGATCCTCCACATTCTACTGCTGAATAATTCAGGCACTGGTTACCATGGCAACACATCATCTACGGTATTCCCAAGAGTGTTTGGGGTTTCCATAGTGTTTTATTTTGCTAGTTCCAAATCTTAAAATTTTTATCTTCTGTGTGAACAAATAGCTGCGACCCACTCACACATCACCCTGTATGCCTGGCCTGGGTCCCACAGTGAGACTGGGGTCCCCTCTGCAGGGGTGGAGGTCTGTGATAATGCCCGTCCCTTCTAGCTTGCCTTTCAAATGTGTGGAGGCAAGCAGAGTCCTGGTGCCACATGGGGGAGTGACCTGGGAATCACATGCAAAAAGGTCACGCCCCCTCGGTCCCGCCATCCACACCCCAAGGACATTAACTACAAAGACAGCACGGGTAGGGCCTCATATTGTAGCGCAGGTTGACCCTCTTGCCTCAAGCTCCCCAGCACTGGAGTCACAAGTGTGTGCCGGCTGTTACTTTCAAATACTGACCGCATGCCATGCGGGGAGTGGACTCTGTCTGCTCCCATCTAAGTCATCCTTGCTGCTAAGCAGTGAGGGAGAGGTGTCCTGACTTCTTGTTTGCGTCGCTTTGGGGAGCCGGTGAGGTGTCTTGCCAGGGTGCTGTGTGTGGGAGAAGGAGAAGGAGTGGGTGTAGGACTCAGACAGTCACAGAGACCCTGCCAGCCTCGGGGCAGTACAGCATCAAGGGGTGCTCCATCTTAGTCGTCGCTTAGAGCTGTCTTCTGTGGGCTTTGGCGCCTTCAGAGCCCTGGGCCAAACACTGTGCTGTTTTATGCAAAGATGTGTATACCCATGGTGGGCAGTAGAAGGGATGCAAAGCCCCCCCCCTCCTACGTAGGTTAGAGATGGGGAGCTCCTTTGTGAAAATACCTAGAAATGAGCTTGGCCTCAGAAAGGTAGGTTTAGGTGGCAATGTCCCGTCTCAGCTGTGGCCAGGGGTTTCTGCCACTTTGTAAAGACTCCAGGTCACAGGTGACTTAAGGGGAACATTCCTGGTAGGAGGTACTGACTGAGAACTGCTCCTCTAATGGCCAGGCATCCTCGTCACAGGCATAAGCCATAGAAGCCACCAGCAGGATTGAATAAATAGGGCCACAGGTGCTGGCAGCCCAAATGACCTTAGAGCCTCGCCACGGGGCAGATGACAGCATTGTGCCTAGATGAGTTAGTGTGGATGGCTTGTCTGGGCCAAGACTCTGGAAGGAGTGTCTTGAGTAATGCATTGTTCAGCTTCTTGTTCAGGATCCCTGCGGGGGACCTTTGTTCTGGGGCTGAGTGAGAGGCTGATTAAAGATCAGTAGCCTCCTCCAGGGGTTGGTACTTAGCGCATTAGCACAGCAGTTAAATGATCCCAGCTTCTCTCTGTACACTGTGTTCTGCTGCATCCAGAACAGACTGCTACCACGGGGCCCACAGAGAACACAGGGTCTCAAGGAAAACAGCGGCAGGCGCACGGGCACCACCAGCCAGCCACTCTCGCCCCCTCCCCCACCCACTTTGTTCTCCTTGAACTCTGAGGCATTTTAGGGGGTTGCGTGATGCTCCTAACGGTGGTGTGTAAATTGGGCACTGCTACCTCTGTAAATGATGTGGCTGGTGGTGGCCACAGGCTCTGCTGAGGCTGCGAAGGAGGCCAGCCATGGTGCAAGGTCTCAGGTCCATGGGCACAGAGCTTTGGAAACATACAGTCTTCTAGACTTAACAGGAAGTGTGCCTGCTGCTTCTAGTTGCTCAAAAGCCAGTCCTGTCTGGAGTGTGCACATCTATGCATAGGCAGAGGTTACACTGTTACCGAACTTGAGAGGGCCTTTGCCTCTTCTCTCTCTCCTGCCCTGACTTTGAATGGGTGTGAGCCCAGCCACCATGGTGGGCATCTGCCTCGGAGTCAGCTATGGTCACAGGTAGCTGTTGCTCCAGTCCGGTGCTGTGCACTCACCTTGAAGGCTTGTGCAGTGTCCTGGGTGGGTGCTCTGCACAGCTCCATGTCCTTTCCACAAGAGGGAAGTGAGCGCACCACCAAGCCAGGGCACACCACCAAGCCAGGGCACACCACGTGGCAGCAGGTGACTTGAGAATAACCAGTCCATGGTGTGAGGAGCCAGCGCATGGGTTAGCAAGCATGAACTCAACACTGCCCCTACTGGAAGTACCTAGAATCGCAGGTGAGGGTGTGAACAAGCAACAATGATGGGGGCCATCAGTCTGGAGGAGACATGAAGCCATGCATCTCTGAACCTCGGCAGCTCGGTGTTATCCCCTTTATGTGGGGTGTACTCAGAGCCCTTCACGGGTGCTTTAGCCACTCATCCTTCACAGGGTGAGCCTCGTAGTGTCTGCAGAATGACATGGTGGGGAACATGGGTGGGCAATTGTTCCTCTGATGCTTTCTGGTTCTCATATCTGGATCTCGGGAGGTACGTGAAGTGCAGATCTCCAGGACTCCTCCCATCTCCTAAGTGTAGGGTGGGGGAGGAGGAGGGGAAGGAGGAGAGAGGGGCTTGTGTGTGTGTGTGAGTGTATGTGTGTGTTTATGTGTGTGTGTGTGAGTGTATGTGTGTGTGCCAGTGTGCACGTGCTCATGCACATGCACATGCATGTATGTGTGAGTGCGTGTGTGAGTGTGTGTGTGCGCATGCGTGCATGTGCGTGTTTATGCACATGCATGTGTGTGTATGTGTGTGCGCGCTCATGCACTCACGCACACACGTGTTTCTGTGAGTGAGTGTGCATGCACATAGAGGAAGACGTGGTACACTGCAAGTGTGGAGGTCTAGGACTCGCTCAGGAGTTGTTCCCCACCTTGCTTGGCACAGTGTCTCTGTTGTTGGCTGCCATTTCCACCAGGCTAGCTGGCCTTGAGCTTTCGGTGATGGCCCGTCTCCACCTCCCATCTCACTCCCTTCAGTGCCAGGATCACTGATGTCTGACTTTATGTGGGTTCTGAGGACTTGACTCAGCTTCGCACTTGTTCGGAGCCGGCTTTGCCCAATGAGCCATCTCCCCAGGGCCTGTCCCTCGGCTGCCTCCTCCTGGTGTCACTGCTACTTAATGCTACGTTGTGACCTCCCTAAGACCCCCTGAGACAATCCCCGAGCTTTAGTATCAAAGCAAGCGAGCTATGTCTCTGCTTAGCCTGTTGCTATTTTAAGGCTAATATACATTTTATGATTAATTGTGTTAACCGTCATTGCTTTGTCCACCAAGAAGCTGAGAGTGAAGGGCACGGTTGCCCGTGACAAGAGAGCTTTCATGTTAAGCACGTGCTGTGTTTAAGCAGTGATGTGTGCTGTTTTTTATCTTATTGTTGTGGACATAGTTTTATGTATCATTTCAAAGCCGGGGTTTAGAATTAAAAATGTCAGTAGGAACAGCTGCTTTTTGGTGGGGGCTGTGTCAGTGCACTGAACCCTCTGCTGTCTGGTCTCCCCTAGGCCTCGGCTTCCTTCCCCATTACAGCCCTGCCCCAGGAGTCTGTTGGCAACAGTGACGTCTTTGGATTAGGTGGAAATATCAGTGTGCTTTCTCTCCCAGTATGAAGAGTTTGTTGGCTTCAAGAAGCTCACAGTTCAGAGAAGGCAACAATGATGGATTGGGGTTACAACTGAAGTTTATACATATTTTTTCCTTCTTATGGGTCATTTGTATAAGATGTAAAAATGTTTTAAGATGGTAATGCCAAGTGTAAAAATACTTAAAACAAAAAGACATGTTTAAACAAAAGGGAAAAAATAAGGAAAAAACATTGGGAGGAATCAGAAATAAGTGGGAACTAGTTGTCTGATACTGCAGCAGTGGACACTGAGAGATCATG